TTGGTCGGTTTAAAAAATCAGTTGGAACATTGGAAAAAAAAAAATTCTCCGGCGAACTTCGGTTGATTTTTAACCGGTCAATGATAAACAGCTTTTGGTCAAAAAATTTCTTAATCAACAAATCTTCACTATTTTTTGTTTCTTTGAACACAATACGGTGAAGTTTTTCTACATGAGTCGTCTTCTTCGATAAGGGTCTTGTTTCAGTCAGGTTTGCCTTCTCTCTATATTTCTTCGTCTTTGTTCATCTCTGCAATTTCAGTATCATCAAAAAAGCTTCGATTTTTGTGATCCTGAAGAGCTTCAAAGTAATGGGTTTCTACGAAATGTTACTCCTTTAATCCCAATTTAGTTTTGTCTTCGTTTGATTTGGAATCTCTTGACTCGTTCATGAATGATTTGATTNTGGGTTTCTACAGTATAAGATCTGTGACTTGATATCGATTCCTCCTTCTTCAACACTTTCTTCTATGGATTGATAGAGAGAAAGTATGCCAAATTAGTGAGCTTCTTGCTAGTTAATCACTGGGTTTTGTTCTGTACAATCTTTAACAACACTTGTTAGCTGTGCTAGTTGCTATATCTGATTGGAATTTCAATAAACATTGTTTCAGTTTTTGTGAGAATCATGATGAGTAGTAGTGTATGTACTTAAACGTTTTCCATTTTGATGCAGAATGATAGACTTATCTACTCTATCTCCTTCGGAGATCACGGTGATAGGATCCGTGTTCTGTGTTTTGCTCACTATGCACTTCACGATGCAGCTCATATCTCAGCATCTGTTTTACTGGAAGAACCCTAAAGAACAGAGAGCCATTCTAATCATTATACTTATGGCTCCTGTTTACGCTATCAACTCTTTTGTGGGCTTATTAGATGCTAAAGGAAGCAAACCGTTCTTCATGTTTCTAGACGCCGTTAAGGAATGCTATGAGGCAATTGTAGGTTTCGAGGTTCCCTCATATCTCATAACCCCTTCACTGTCACTCTCTATCTGACTATTTCTTGATTTGTTTGTATTGCTCTATTTTTTTCAGGTCATTGCTAAATTCTTGGCTTTGATGTATAGTTACCTCAACATATCGATGAGTGGAAGGATTATCCCTGATGAGATCAAAGGGAGAGAAATCCACCATTCGTTTCCAATGACTCTTTTCGTACCCCGCAACTCCCATCTGGATCACCGTACACTGAAACAGCTCAAGCAATGGACATGGCAGTTTTGTATTATCCGTCCAGTGTGTTCCATCTTGATGATAACATTGCAGCTCCTCGGGATTTATCCAGCATGGTTGAGCTGGATTGTCACGGTCATTCTAAACGTTTCGGTATCCCTAGCTTTGTATTCTTTGGTGAAATTCTACCATGTATTTGCCAAAGAGTTGGAGCCTCATAAGCCGCTTACAAAGTTCATGTGCGTGAAAGGGATCGTCTTCTTCTGCTTCTGGCAGGTACATACTTAGCATCTAATGGAAAGATACACGGTCTCTAGAGTATCTGAAGATGGTTTAGAGGTTGTCAGTGCCGTGAATTATACTACATGTTAAGGATTTCTTGTTAAGTCTAGCACAGAACTATTTTAACCAGCCTTGAGGTTGTGCAGGGAATTGTAGCTTTGTCAGCTCAGTAACAGAGCTTAGATTGTTTAGTTGAGAGCTGAAAGGTTTAAAGGGGAACTAGATGGTAGTGCGCGTATGGTCTTAGACTCTTAGGATTGAGCAAGTCTTTCTATGGTATAGTGAACCAAAAACCATTTAGAACTCGTTGATTAGTCCTTGAGATAAACACGTCTCATCTCAATAGATTTACGATCATCACTGCATTTGGTAAAGTAATTGAACATTCTGAAAATTAAAGCTTTCATGCCTCTCAGGTATCTAACAATGAATGAATGCTGAGTTGGGGTTTTCTTGGCATTGGCTGTGTGTTGTGCAGGGCGTAGTGCTGGAGATATTGGTGAAATTGGGAATTATAAAGTCGCATCATTTCTGGTTGGAAGTGGAGCAGCTTGAGGAAGCTCTGCAAAACGTGCTCGTGTGTCTTGAGATGATCGTCTTCTCGGTTATTCAACAATACGCTTTTCACGTTGCTCCTTACAGTGGAGAAACCGATGCTAGGATGAGAATGAACAAGAGGGATTGATTCTGAGAGACAAGGACCCTTTTCCAGATTTAGAGACCACAGAAGAATT